ACATTCATATAACGACGACCAGTTTTACTGAAGGATAAGGTAGACTTATTGCTTTTATTTCTGTCTGCCAACTGTATCGACAGTTCAGCCCCCGAAAAGGCGAGTTTAGTTTGTAATTAAGGCAAACAATGTATTAGCTGGAACACAGGTCCGCCGCCTCTCAGTGGCATGGCGTTTAGCCGAAGGCTTGAAAGCAGAGCTCGGGTTCCATCTGCGGATCTTCCTGGTCTGGAGTAGAGATATAGCTTACTGAGGATGTCAAAAAAGTCAAAATGGTTATTCGTTTGGCCCAGTTGTCTAAAACTCGGTGAAATTTGAACCCCCAACAGCAAAGGGAAGGCTCTAGTACAATAAACACTCTTACCACCTGAGCTGCGAGGCCGCATTAGGAGCCGTGAGTTTAACCATGCTTAGGTGAAGTTACCAGCCAAGCCTGCTGCAACATATTGAATCCGCCAATTCCTTTACACTAAATTGGCTATCCAAGCAGGATTTCCTAACCAACTAATCTAGAATCCAACGAGCACACTTTATAACTAGGAGGGGTTGGGTAGATTTCAATTGTGTAAAACTCCGCAGGTTTCGAGCGTTGGCTGTACTAACGCTTCCCTTGCTGTTGTGGTCTTGAATCCCATCGAGGTTGTCGAGTTTTTTTTTTTCAATTGAATCCAATGAATTTTTAGAATCTGCGAAGCCTCCCCCTGTTAAGATCAATTATTTTCATTTTCTTTACCTCTCGACTGATGGTTTTTCTTAATCCGTGACTTTGGACTTTTCCTTTTAAGGTTGATCACCAGCGTACCCTGCTCTACCTGGAGCAGATTTTACTGCGCAAAAATCTTCAGAAGCATTATAGCAATGTAAAGCAAGTAAAGGGTAAGAAACCGTGGCGCACCACCCCTTTGTAGCTTCTTTTTTTTCTACACCGTCCATTGCACTTTTTGGCTTTTTTCTCCTGTTGTGTGTCTCTGTTTGTTAAATCGCGTCGTTTTCCCCTCTAGGCGGACTGGACTTTTTCTTCGCCACGCGTTCCAAGGCGGCAGCCTTTGTGGAATTCGTCTCCAAGATCATACCCTGCCGATCGCAGACATCACAACAACTCAAGTCGCACGATGTGCACAACAACACCTTCAATTACAAATTCACTTTTTGCCTGGAGGTGGTGCCTGTGTGCAAGGTAAGGTAAGGCATGCGAGGGGGCTTATTTTTTTCGTGCAGTACACACCAGCAATGGTTCTGGGCATCCATACTTTTTTATAGGGCTTTCTACTTTGTATCACCGTTGGTCAAAAATGTCGGTAACAGTTAGGTTGGTTGTCCACCTTAGATAGTCCTAATCCGGTGGTTGCTCTCAGTTTTGTTAGTTTTAGACTACGCAAGAGTAGTTGGCTTTCAATAAATTGTCATCGGGCCGTTACATTTATATGGGAAGGGGGTAAAAGGTACAAGGTAAACATGCGGACATGTCCGATGAGAACTTATCTTAAGCCTACATATGCCCGCCAACTACTCCTCTGAATTCTCTGACGAGAATTTTCGCAACTTCAAAACAGTTTTATATTAATTTATTTGACCCAATTGGGAAAAAACTCGCGGCATTCGGCGGAATTCGAACCCGCATAAGAGGGGAGGCCTTCTACGCAAGCCAACGCTCTACCTACTTGAGCTACGAATGCCATGCTTCACGCCGTGAGTTTAATCACGATTAATCGATATTACCCGCCCAACCTTGCCGCTCATATGGAATCCACCAATACAGGACAGCAAGTTGACTGCCCAAGCAGGATTTCCTAAGCAATCATCCAGAATCAACAGCAAGTTGACTGCCCAAGCAGGATTTCCTAAGCAATCATCTAGAATCCTCAGAATGACTACTAGGCTGACTTAATTATCCCGCCGAATGCCGCGAGTTTTTTTCACAATTGGGTCAACTTACTCAACCAAATCTGCCAAACCTCCTGGATAGTTTTAGATTGGTTTATTAGTTTAATTTTAGGTTCAGTTTTTAGTTTATGTAGTTTCCGCCATCGGTAGATGAATATACTCAAATGAGTACTATATACGAATTAATGTAAGCTAAACTAAAAGTGAAGTGAACTAATACCACCGGTCCTGTAAGACAGAATTCTGGGACTAGGCGCATCTAAGATGGAGGACCAACTTAACTGTTTCCAAAATGTCCTCTGTTGCTTAAGCCTAGAGAGTCTTAGTCGTGGTTCCTTTACTATTCCCCGTTAGGCACATTCACCGTCGAACATGTTAAATTCGGTTCCACAATATCGGGTCTTTAGGGCTGGTTTGGGCTAACCAAGGCAAGTGATTTGGAAAGAGTCGCGCTCTTTTCCACTGGTAGTTTTCACATGCTTTCCTTGCTTGTAAAGAAGGGTAGGCATTTCCTAACCAGATCTGTGTTAAATGATTAACAAGCTTTCTATAATCTTTGAAGATCAACGCCCCACCTCTTACTGCCCCATTCAAGTTTTATTAAACCTTGTGCCACTAAGCCGAATATGTCATGATTCGTGTCGGCTCGTCTGTAAAACCTAAATTGCAAGCCTGATCAGTGGGATCAAGTAGAGCACCAGCATTGGAACCTGTGGAATATCGAAAGCAGTGTCGATAAAATAACCAATTTCGAAAATCTCGCCTGCTCCTAATGCTAACCTTTTTAATTATCCAACTCAAGGAGAATTTTCTTCGGCAGCAATATTCCTAAGTGATGCCGCCATATAGAGGCCAAAGCGTGCTATGTTACCCTCCGTACAGTCTATCTGCTGTACCGGGGTAGCTGGATGTATTCAGTGGTTGTAACGTTGAAAAAAGGGCGAGTGAAAACTCCCAGAACCTGAAGATTTGGGTATCAATGAACAAGTTCATAAAATACTTGTTGCCCGCCAATGCTGACTTAAGAATTAGACTTCTTGTTAGGTGTATAGAGCAGGGGCATCTATTTGCTATGGTATTGCCATCAGCCGCGGCTTCCTCATCCAGTAAGTGCAAATTCTAACCGAAACAATTGCCTTATTACTGTTAGCAACATTTCTGCTGCTCTTATTGATTCTTTCCAGAAGGAAACCGTTACATAACCCAGGTCTGTTTTTTTTAATTCTTCAGGAGGATATAGTTTGCCTGCCGAAGGCTTTTGCTCATCGTCTCGGCTTTACAAATCAACTAATGATCGTGACCAAAGTCACCAAGAACATCCGCCTCTTAGACCCAATCACCTGCCAGAGTAAGAAGCGTTTGCACATCTTTGCCTTGGTCTGTTTTACATTTACTTTGGATGTTAGGAAGCCCTTTCTGTGTGATATTATTTGAAAGTCGATATTATTGCGTCGGTGTCCTTACTAATACTACTACTACTGCTGATTTTCAGTAGTAGCGGTGTAGAATCCTTACCTAAATTAGTTTTCTGTAAAACACTTGTTCAAAACTGACTGCATGTTTGCCAATCCTGGGTGTAAACCCTCGTGGTTGGTGTTCTAATCGCCTGGCCGACGACATTTGTGCGGTTAATTGTCAGCACTGACAGCTCGACCGTCGTTTTCGATGATGACTGCTGTGAGCTCCAGCAAACCAAAGGCACACGCGGTGACTGGCAGTGAATTATAGTGAAAGTAAACTCGTGCAGGATCTAGCCCACTCGGTGTTAAGACAAAAGTCGAGGAGAAAGGAGA